TCTGAATGTCCCACAGCACCTCCCAACAGTACCAGCCTGGGACCAAGTCTTTAACACATGGACCTCTGGGGAACACTCACCCAAGCCATAGAAGCGTGTGAGCCTAGAAGGGTTGGCAGCCACTCCTCCCACTGCAGCAAATACTGGATGCATGGCTAAAATCCCCCTTCAACAGGGCTTGCCCCAGTTGCTAGGAGTATTGTTGGCAAACAGCTTTTGGCTATCAGTCCAAGGACTGCCCCTGCTACAGAAAGCCTCCTCACCCAAGGTCACCCCTTCCCTAGGTGGCTCTCATCCAAAGTTGATGTATAGGTGTAAAGGCCAGACCATCTCAGTGTGAAGCGAGACCACAGCAAAGGGCCATTCTAACTCCATAGTTCCTTGTGGGATAAGCCCAGGTTGTAGCTGAGTGTGCGTCATGACTGGACTTTTCCTTCTGCCCAGTCTTACTGATCTTCTCCTGTACGGTTATTAAACCTGAGGGCAGTCCTCAAGAAGTGTACTGAACATTAAGCTCCGTTGGAGGGTCTTCCTTCCAGTGACCTCAGCCTCAAACACCACTGCATAGAGGAACTTGAAAGAATTTAATCAGTATGCAAAGAGAAACCAAAATTAGAAAGGGAGAGACAGAGAGTAAGAGGACTGGCTGGATGCAGTCAGGGGCCAGTGCCCATGGTATCTTATGGATTGATCACACAAGCCAACTAATTTACATTTAAATTTTGTTTGTTTGTTTCAAAGCTGGCTTGAGCTGACTTTCTGACATTGGAAGGAAAGAGTCGTCCTGGCTAATACAAAAGGCATTTGAACAAACTGCATGGGTCATTTTTTAATGTTGGTTAAGATCATCATTGAATTTAGATGACTTGGAGAAGTACAGGTTACTTAAACCGAATGTGACTGAATTTCTTTATCTGTTAAATAGATACAGCCACCTTCTTCAATTGATTGTTATAAGAATTAAATTAATTAATACATACAACTCACTTATAACTCTGCCTGGGGCTGGTCGTGGTGGCACACACTTGTAATCCCAGTGACTTGGGAGGCTGAGGCAGGAGGATCGCCAAGTACAAGCCAGCCTCAGCAATTTCACAAAGCTCCAAGCAACTTAGTGAGACCCTGTCTCAAAAGAGAAAATAAAAAGGGCTGGGATGTGGCTCAGTGGTAAAGCACCCTTGGGTTCAATCCTCAGTACCAAACAAACAAACAAAAACACACTAGCTGGCACATCAATTGATGTGAGAGGAGTCTTTCTCTTCCTTCATTTATAATCAGTGGTATCAGGTTCACACTAACATGAACCTGTGACTTTTCAGAAAATTCCTTAGTTGCTTTGTGGACTATGATACCAAGTAGAAGACTCTAAACATTATTTATGCTCTACACATCTGGGGTTGCAAAACCCGTGTCTAGAGGAGCAAGCCAGCAGCCCAAAGGCAAAAAGCAGACCTTGGTAGTGGGAGGTGACAGGGACTGTGACAAAATGGAAAGCATACACCTTGTCTACAGTGGGCAGCCACTCAAGCATAACTACTAACTATAGGCAAATGAGGATTTGCTATTGCAAAATCTGATTTCTCAAGAAAAAAGAAACTGAACTTTTATACAAAGTATGACATTTTTGCAATATTGACAAAAAATAAACAAATAGAGTGAAAACCAAAAAAAAAAAAAAAAAAAAAAAAACTGACAAGGATGCCCTCTTTCACCCTTCTATTCAACATCGTCCTTGAAATTCTAGCCAGAGCTATTAGTCAGAAGAAACTAAAGGGATATGAATAAAAAAAGAAAAACTCAAACTATCCCTATTTGCCAACAACATGATTCTATATTTAGAAGACCCAGAAAACTTCTAGAGCTCAGAAATGAATTCAGCAAAGTAGCAGGATATAAAACTAAACCCAAATTAACATCAATTGCATTCCTATACATCAGTGATGAATCAACTGAAAGAGAAATTAGGAAAACTACCTCATTCACAGTATTTGGGAATCAATCTAACAAAAGAGGTGAAAGACCTCTACAATGAAAACTACAGAACGCTAAAGAAAGAAATTAAAGAAGACCTTAAAAAATGGAAAGAACTCCTATGCTCCTGGATAGGCAGAATTAATATCATCAAGATGGCCATATGGGGCTGGGGATGCAAACAAAGATGTTGTGTCTGCCGAAAACTAAAAAAAATAAATAAATAAATATTAAAATTCTCTCTCTCTCTCTCTCTCTCTCTCTCTCTCTCTCTCTCTTAAAAATAATTTTAAAAAGATGGCCATACTACCCAAATTTAATGCAATCCCTATTAAAATTCCAATGATATTCTTCATAGAAACAGAAAAAGCAGTCATGAAATTCATTTGGAAAAATAAGAAATCCAGGATAGCCAAAGCAATCCTTAGCAAGAAAAGTGAAGCAGGAGGCATCACAATACCAGACTCTCAGGAGCTGCCACATAGGAGCTGAGCGCCCCCTAGCTTTAAGCAATGGAAATGTGGAGATGTGGCAAGCCAGCCATGGGCTGTGTGTGTGAGCTGTGAGCATTTTGAGCACACAAAGCAGACTGGACTGACGGTGCCCCACTGTCTGGGCTGTGCACGTATGTGTCCCTTTCGCTTGCTCTGCCTTTGATCATCACACAACACATGAGATGGGTGTGACCTCCCAAGATGTCAGTCAACTTGCTGACCTGCAAGACATCAGGAAGCTAGACTCAACCCCTTGAAACCTGACCCCTTGCCTCATTTGAATGGCTTCTCCACAATAAAACTCTTTCTTGCCTGCCTTGCCTCCTTTGTGGGAGCTGGGTCAGAGAAGCAGTCACAGGAATCAAAGAAAAAGGTATTTCTCTGTTTCTGTGTGATTATTTCATGCCATCCCAGTTCACTTGGAGTGACCCTGACTGGTCTAAACCAGTGTGTCACAACACTGGACCTTAAATTATACTACAGAGCTATAGTAACAAAAATGGCATGGTATTGGCACCAAAACAGACACAGAGAATAGAAGACACAGAGACAAACCCATATAAATACAGTTATCTCATACTAGACAAGCATGAAAAACATACATTGAAGAAAAGATAGCCTCTTCAACAAAAGGTGCTGGGAAAACTGGAAATCCAAATGTAGCAAAATGAAAATTAAATCCCTATCTATCACTCTGCACAAAACTCAACTCAAAGTGGTTCAAGGACCTACAACATTAGACCAGAGACCCTGTGCCTAATAGAAGAGATAGGCCCAAATTTACATCACCTCAGCTTATGAACTGAATTCCTCAACAAGACTCCTAAAGTGTAAGAAGTAAAATCATGAATCAAGGAATGGGATGGTATCAAACCAAAAAGCTTTTTCACAGCAAAGGAAACAATCAAGAATGTGAAGAGAAAGTCTACAGAATGGGAGAAAATCTTTGCCACCTGCACCTCAGATAGAGTGTTAATCTACAGGATATATAAAGAACTTAAAAAACTTAACACCAAAAAAAAAAAAACCAATCAATAAATGGGAAAAGGAACTGAACGGGCACATCACAGAAAAAGAAATACAATTGATCAACAAACATGAAAAAATGTTCATCACTCTAGCAGTTAGAGAAATGCAATCAAAACTACACTGAGATTTCATCTCACACCAGTCAGAATGACAATTATCAAGAATACAAATACCAATAAATGTTGGTGAGATTGTGGGGGAAAAGATACACTCATATATTGCTGGTGGGACTGTAAATTGGTGCAACCACTCTGGAAAGCAGTATGGTGATTCCTCAGAAAACTTGGAATGGAATCACCATTTGGCATGATACCCAAAGGATTTAAAATCAGCATACTATAGTGACGCTCCCACATCAATGTTTATAGCAGCTCAATTCACAATAGCTAAACTAGGAAACCAGCCTAGGTGCCCTTCAACAGATGAATGCATAAAGAAACTGTGGTATATATACACAATTGCTCAGCCATAAAGAGAAATGAAATTATGGCATTTGCTGGTAAATGGATAGAACGAGAGACTATCATGCTAAGCAAAATAAGCCATTCCCCTAAATCCACAGGCCGAATGTTCTCTCTGGTGTGCAGATGCTAACTCACAATAAGGGGAGAGAGTTTATGGAAAAATAGAAATACTTTGAATTAGACAAAGGGAAATGAAGGGAAAGGAGGGGGAATGGGAATAAGAAAGATAGTAGAATGAATCTGACATTACTTTCCTGTGTTCATATATGAATACACCACCAATGTAATTCCACATCATATACAACCTGGAGAATGGGAAGTTGTACTCCGTGTATGTATAATACATCAAAATACATTCTACTGTCATGTATAACTAAAAAGAGCAAATAAAATTTTTTCAAAACAAAAAATGAATCTGTCAACAACCAGCTTGAAGCTTCAGTCATATAATATTTATAGAGGAATACATTGTGTAACCGGATTTTTTATTAAAATACTTTATTTATTTATTACTTATTTATGTTGGACTGGGGATTGAACACAAGAATCTTCTCCCACTGAACTACATTCCCAGCCCTTTTCTTTTTATTTTTTAAAATTTGAGACAGGGTCTCACTAAGTTGGCCAGGCTGACCTCAAACTTGTGATCCTTCTGCCTCAGCCTCCTGAGCCACTGGGATTACAAGTGTGCTCCCCACACCTGTGAAAATACTTTAATAAGTGAGCATGGATTTTATAAAATGGTTATCAATGAACTTTCTATGGAAAGCAGCAATCCTCTGCTCCATCCCTCCCAGTCATAAAGAAACCCATCCCAAAAGAAAAGTTGTATTCTCCTAAATCATATCACTACATCTTGATTTATCAATTGTAAACATTTGAGAAATTATCCAATTCCTATAATGAGTCATAAAGATTTAGCTCATTTAATTATATTTTTTAGTCTCAACCACAGACACCTTCAACTTCTCCCTACTCCTCAAATTCCTTTTTTTAATGCTAGTGAAAGCTAAATCAGCCAGGATTTAGTCAAAACCACAAATTATTTGATCAGAAAGAATTTAATATAAAGTTCTTTTAACTATGTGTACCATTTCACTATGCATATCATTTTTAACTGAAAGGGTAAAAAACAGGGCTTCTCAACCTTGATACTAATATATGTGGTTGGAACAATTCTTTGTCGTGTGGTCTGTCCCGTGCATTGTAGGTTGTTTGGTAGCATCCCTGTCCTCAGCTCAGTAGATGCAGTAGCACTACTTCCCATGCCTCTTCTGAATTGTGACAACCCAAAATCTCTCCAGCTTTTGCCCAATGTCCCCTAGGAAGCAAATTTGTCCCTAGTCAAGAATCAATGCCTGAAAGTATCCCAAAGACAGCAACAGTGGGGAGCTGCTACCACATCTAGGGCTGGAGGGAACCAAGAGGCAGGAATTATTCAAACGTAGAGGAGTCATTTAACCCCAAGGCCTCTGCTGGTGCTGCGCTTCCTGAGAGAGGCACTATGAATCTGGTTCTGCAAATGCTGGAAACACTGCACACCAAATTCCACGGCTGCGTGTGGAGGAGAAACAGCTTCGCGGGTGTGACGATCTCTGAAACTGCAGGGAGCAAAGAGAAGCAAGTCACTTTCCTTCCTCGAACCGTACAGCCTCCCTCGAGTGCCCCCTAGAGGTAGAGCGCAGCAGCCAGCCCCTGGCAAAGCACTGCGGTTTGGGAGCTGAGAAGGTCATTGACACAAGTGTGGGGCTCTCTTTCCTGTATTATCTCTGTGCTTCTCAAACTTGAACTTGCTTGCTAACCACTGGAAACCTGAGACAAAACTGGAAAAGAACACAGAAACAATGGAAGGTCGAGACAAGAAGTTTGAACTCATTCCTATGAGCAGTAGGGAGCCATTGAAGGGTTTAAGGTGAGATCACACACACACAGTGGTTTTATATTTATATAAAACCAAAAAAAGTTATATATGAGATAAATTTTCCTGATGGCTAATATTATCCACTGTGAAATGATTCTTAGTAGTTTTGTTCTCGGTGTAATCTTATTTCCCATTTTGAGGACATTTCCTCCTAAACACATCAGTGACTACTATTATCCCTCGTGGAGTTAGTGGCTCATTCCTCTTGGCTCTCAGAGATTGCTGTATACACATTTTTGTCCTGGTTGTTGTTTAAATGTCTGTTTCACCCACTAGACTGCTAATGCCTCGATAGGAATTGTGTTTTATTGATTTTTGTTTGTCCACAAAGTCTTAATGGAAGGATGAGCCAGCAGAAAGGCAAGAAGAATTAAAAATAAAAATGTATTTGGAAACATACACTTCCCAGTGACAGAATGGTTTCTCAGATGACAAATAAATATTTTAAAAATACAGACCAGTTATACTTTAAATAACGTAGAATTGGCCGTTAAGGTAAGTGAGCCCTTCTATAAATTATATATAGATATTTCATGAAAATAGATTCCTTTGATGGGTGGCAAAGGTCATGGCAAGAAGTTGGAACTTATTCCTGTGGGCAATAGGGAGTCATTGAAGGGTTTAGTGGATATAATATATATATACATATATATATATATATATGTATATATATACACACATACATACACACACACACATACACACATACATACATACATAGACATATATATAAATTTTTTAAATGACACAAATACATAAAAATTATGGGATGGATGCTGCCACTGTTACACTAATTTATCTTCCTGAAAGACGTGTCCATGACACACTGCAGGACCCATACAGAAGTAATTCTGGGTTGCCCATGAAGACTGAGAGTTGCTTCATCCGTTAGCTCTTCAACTCATTCTTCTTTTCCTGCTTTATTTCTCTTTGCTTCTACAGAGCCTCAGTCTTGGCCTACCCAGTTGGGTGGAGGCGTCAGTGTCTCCAGCCCCCTACCTTGACTCTTACCTTATTTATTGCTTTTGTGTCTCACTCACAGCTCAACACTTCTTAACACCCTCTTGACCTCCTTGGTCCTGGTTCCCACCAGATGACCCCTTCAAGTTAAGATCCCATTGAGAAGAGCATAGCTTTGGAGTCCAAAAGGTTGAGTTAAATCCTGGCTCTGCCACTTTCTTAGCTTTGTGACCTTGGACAAGTCATCCAATTTTACTAGTTTTCTGTATCTTCGTCTCTCTAAAATAGTCAATAATGTTTAAATCCTGAAATTGTTATGAAAATTAAAATATATATTGTGTAGAATATACCAAATATAATGCCCAGTGTCTTAGGTGGGTTCTTGGACACTAACTCCCAGAGGGAGAATTTTTTGTTGTTGTTGCTGTTTCTGTTTAACATGCTTCAGAGAGCGTCAGGCATCCAGTTAGATGCAACTGTTTTTAATGTGCTAAAATAAAATATGATTTGATACAGTAAGAAGGAAAGAAAAGACAGAGTGGATAAAACCAAGATCTTATAGCCGGGGACTCTAAGAAACTAGAAATTCACAGGTTAAAAACACCATGCACTTCAGAAAGAAATCAGTGTTTTGATCCATGTCTCTCTTACATAGCTATTCATTTCAAAGTACTATGCCCAGAGTTCTGGGGGTGCAGGGGTTCCAGTCTCACTGACACTGCAAAGCCAATCCTTCCTTAGGCCCTGATCTCCTCAGGCTACCTCTGGTCCCAGTATGCACACCTCTGACCACACTCTCTCCTGTCTAGTGGTGGGTAGGTTCTCAGCCCTCTCTCTGGTCCAGTGGGAGAAGCAGGGGGAGCCCAAGGGCTGGGATCCTCCAGCTTTACATCACGCAGATGGACTGTGAGGGTATTGGGGTCTTTGCCCATACCCTGGTTTGGGTCAGCCTGGGTCAGGATGGTTCCTGTGCACACGCTTGACCACCTAAAATTTCTGCTTGGCCTTGTAGCTGCAGAGGCAGCAGAAGAAGGGATCGTGGTCAGTGTGTGTAAGGGCGAGATGGCGCAGGCCAGCAGCCTAGCTGAAATCATGGTGGCACACATTGCACACGTAGGGTTTTGCTTCGCTGTGCTTGAAAAGGTGGGTAAGCAGCAGGAAGCACATCTTGAAGGCCTTGCCACATTGCTTACACATGGAAGCCCGTTTTTCCCGATGCACATGCAATGCATCAGCCCGGTTGGTGCAGTACTCACACTCAGAACACTGAAATGGCCTCAGTCCTGTGTGCTTGGTCATGTGGTACTTGAGCTGGTTGATCCACTTGCATTTGTAGCCACATTCAGGACACTGGTACTTCTGTTCCTCTTTGTGTATTCATTCTCATGTGGTACTAGAGGCTAGAGGGGTCGATGCAGGCATACAGGCAGAGGTGACAGCAGGAAGGCTTCCCCCATCCCCCCCACCCCGTGGCTGCGGCTGTGCCACGTGATCTTCTACCGGGTCTTGGTGCTGTAAGCAGTCAGGACACTTGTAGACCTGAGTGCCCCCATGCCCTTTCACATGGTGATCTAGCACAAACTGTTGGCAACATGCAGAGTCACAAAAGCAGGGCTGAGCAACATCCCCATAGATTTAAACTGAGTGGAATTCACTGGTTCACGGGTCTCCTGCCAGTGGTGAGTGACTGGCGCAGCTGCAGTCTCTTATGCTGTTCTAGGTAGTGCTTCACCAGACCTGCTCACTCCTGGGCAGCAGAGTTGGCCTCCGTGGCTGAAATGCTGCTGCCTCCCGTGCTCTTCAGAGCTGGCCAGCTAGGGAAGGCCTCCTGGCAGGTCCCACACTGCAGCCACCCAAACCCCATACATACTAGGCAAGGGTTATACCACTGGGTTATGCCACCAACTCATTTTATTTTATTTGGGGGCAGATCTTGATATGTTATTTAGGCTGGGCTTGAACTTACAATTGATCAATCTTCCTGTGTCAAGCTCCTGAGTAGCTGGGATTACAGGCATGAGCCATGTGCTGGCCCTGACAAGGTTTATGAGCAGTTTTATAAGGTAGTACCTGCAGGATCAACAGAGTCGGGGAACAAAGAAATAGGAGCGGCCAGAGAGGAAACTGAACTGTGTGATGCAGTCACTCCCCACTGGCAGGAGTCCCCTGAACCTGTAAATTCCACTCAGTTTGAATCTATGGACGAGTCACCCAGTTAGCAGCCTTTGGCCCCTCTGATGGTTCTTTTCTCCTTGAACTGTTTTCTCCATTTGGTTTCTAGGACCCTGCACTCTCCTGGCTTTGCTTTTATCTCCTTAGTCTTGTGTTTTGTTGGCCCCTCTTTTCCTCTCAACATCTTACTGGTATAGTATCTTGGACCTCAGTCTAGTTACTTCTCAGCCGCTTTGTTCTCTCATCTCACCTTATAGCTTTAAATATGTCTCTGGGGCTGGGGTTGTAGCTTAGTGATAGAGCGCTTGTCCCGCATGTGTGAGATGCTAGCTTCAATCCTCAGCAACAGTAAAAATAAATAAATAAATAAAGATATTATGTCCATCTACAACTAATTAATAAATAAATAAATACTGTCTCTTTGCCCAATAACTTCCAAATTTATTCCTCCAACACAGACCTCTAAACTCTTGTATACCCAACTGCCTTCTCTTTATCTAATTGTATGTCTAACCAATATTTCAAACTTTAATTAGTTCTCCCATTCCACCCCACTTCTCTCTACCACCCAACCCACTCTATCCACTGTCCTCCATCATTCCATTTTCCCAGGCCCCAAACCCTGTTGTCATTTCTGATTCCCCCCTTCCTGTCACACTCAACACCCAATACATAGAAAAATCCTATTGTATCTACCTTTTTTATTTTTTAGTTGTAGATGGACACAATACCTTCATTTTATTTATTTATTTTTATGTGGTGCTGAGGATCAAACCCAGTGCCTCATACATGCAAGGAAAGCGCTCTGCCACTGAGCTACAGCCTCAGCTTTTGTATCAGCTTTTGAAATAAACTCAATCTGACCACTTCCATCCTTGGTCTATGTAATTTTGCCTCTGAGATGTTTCTATTGTCTCCTGTCTGGTCATGTCAGTCCTCTGCTCAAAATCTCTTCATGGCTGCTTATTTTGCTCAGAATGAAGGCCAAAATACTTCCACTGACCTTTAAGTCCTTTATATTGGTCAGTTTTCTGTCACTGTGACAAAATACCTGAAACAATCAACTTATAAGGGATAAAGGTTTATTTTGGCTTACAGTTTCAGCGGATTTAGTCCCTGGTCTGTCGGCTCCATTGATTTTGGATCTGTAGTGAGACAGAACACCATGGCAGGGAGTGTACGGAAGAGCAAAGCTGTTCACAGCAAGGCAGCCAGAAAGTGAAAGAGAGAAACAGGAAGAGGTTGGGGTCCCAATATCCTCTTCAAGTGCATGTTCCCAAATACTTAATTTTCTTTCACTAGCTTCTTTTCTTCTTTAATTTGTTTTGTACTGGGGATTGAATCCAGGGGCACTTTTCCACTGAACCATACCCCCCCAGCTCTTTTTATTTTTTAATTTATAAACAGGGTCTCACTGAATTTCCCAGGCTGGCCTCAAACTTGCAATCCTTCTGCCTCAGCCTCCTGAGTCATTGGGATTATAGGTGTGTGCCACTATTCTTGGCTCCTTCTACTAACTTCTTAAAGTTTCTACCACCTCCCAATAGTGCCAAACTGAAGACCAACTCTTAAACACATGGATCTTTGGGGGACATTCCAAGTCCAAAATACAGCAGCCCTATGTGATCTTGCCTTTGGTTATCACTCTGATCTCACTTTCACTTCATTCCCCTTCATTCAGTTCTCCTAATTCTCCTTGAACATGGCAAGCATATGTCTGTTTTAGGGCCTTACACAGACATTCATCTATCTGGAACATTCTTGCCCAATGTCTGCATGGCTCACCCCTCCCTCATTTTGACTCGTGCAAATATTATCTTCTTTATAAAGGTTTTTCTTGTCAGCTTTCTGTCACTGTGATAAAATACCTGAGATAATCAACTTATAAGGGAGAAAGGCCCTACCATACCCACCAGCCCCATTATTTCCAGTATCCCTGCCCTGCTTTATTTTATCATCATAATCCTCATCACATTTGAACACACTAGATACCATAAATCATTCATTATATATTGTTTACCTCTATTTTGTTCATTGTATCTCAGGACCTACAGAAGATTCTGATACACATTGGAGTTTGATCAATATTATTAGTATTTTGTGTGTGTGTGTTGCTTGGGATCAAACCCAAGGCTTCACACATGCTAAGCAGATGCTTTATCACTGAGCTACATCCCCAGCCCTAACCAGTATTATTGAATTAACAATTATTTATACCATTATTATACTAACTATTAATTTTCCATGTAAATATCTTTGCAGAGCCTATAATTTCAATATTTTTATGGCATACTTTAAGATTAAAACTTATAATCTGCTACTATTCCTTTGTCACTTCACTGAAAAATCATAGAATCCTCTTCTTCAGATTTCAAAATACCCATCCTTTCTGTATTTGCCCAAGAGAAACGCCCCCATTTATGTACCTAAACCTTGCCTGGAGTATAAATCACAGTAACCAGTCTCTGTGAGTCATACACAGAGACAACATGGCCTCACAGGGTTGTGGGACTGGGTTGCCACGGTAACCTCCACTCTCATCTTCTCTGAGCTTAATTGTTCATTTCTAAAATTGCATGCTCTTGAGGTTTAGCATGCTTCAACTCTGCCAGGCCTCAGCTGGCAGGAAATTAAGTGATGGTGTTATTATTCATCATAATTATTTGCTAATGATAATTTATATTTAGAAATATGAGAGAATATAGGAAAAGTGGAATTTTTAAGAAGGCTTTCAATTCATCTAATGCTATATTGGCACCAGTTTTGCATGTTACAGGAACATTCTCTTTACTTCTCTGGCCCCCAAAGCGCACTATGCCCATCACATTCCTCTATTTTTCCATCATATTTGTGCTTCAAGATGAGAGCTCACAGAACGTGCCTTCTTGGTCTCGTACTTTAGGAAACTCAACCAAAGAAAAAAACTTGTGAGAGAAGATATGATTGACGAAATTTAATTTGTGGGTGAAAGACCTAGTTATTAGAAGGAAAAGGAAGCCAGGCTCAGTGGCACATACCTATAATCCCAGTGACTTTGGAGGCTGAGGCAGAATTACAAATTCGAGTCTAGTTTCAGCAACTTAGTGAGCCCCTGTCTCAAAATTTAAAAAAGAGAAAGGACTGGGATGTGCTCACCAGTGGTAGAGCAGTCCTGGGTTCAATCCCCTGTACCACCAAAATAAGGGGGCAGGGGAGAAGCCAACAATAAATTCTCCAAATTATTGGTTATTTGGGAAAAGGAATAGTTTTCATTTTGAGGATAATAAATCTGGAGTAGCTCAAGCAATAACACTAAATGGAGATATTTTTCCTGTGCATTTTCAGAAACGATACTAAAATTTTTATAGCTAGTTTAATTTTCTGGTTATATTTATATATCTCAAATCAAAGAAGGCTTAGCCTTAATTCTAAACCACTCTGTTTTAGCCTTAATCCTAAACCTTAACATACCCTGTAGGCCTAAACCGAGCCAGTGACTGTGAGCATTGGGGAAGATAGGTACAGACTTGCATAATTATTTATGAGATGGAATCCACCATAACTGTCTACAGTGATATCTTGTTCCATTCCTGCTTCTATGACAAAATATTCAGGCCATGTAATTTATAAGTAACAGAAGTTCATTTCTCGTGGTTCTGAGGGTAAGAAATCCATGATCAAGGTGCTGGCAGATTCAATGTCTGGTGAGGGCCTATTCCATATAGATAGCACATAATGTGTCCTGACATGGTAGAAGGGAAGGGCAAAGGGCAGACAAGCCCCTTCGGGCCTCATTTATAAAGGCACTCATCCCAAATTCATGAGGACTCTACCCTCATGACCTAGTCACCTCCCAAAGGCCTCACCTCCTAAAACCAACACACTAAGGATTGGATTTCAACATAGGAATTTGGGGAGGACACAGAGATCCAGAATGTAACAGCAGATAGCAGATGAAGAGAAAAGATGTTGATCTTTACCTTTGCAGCATGACTGTGTAGAATAGTGACTTGACACGTCCTATTGTTGATTTAGGGCACCTATTATGAGAAGGTTTGTGAAGAAATGGAGATTCCATTTGGAGCACCTGGCCCAGCTAGGCTAAGAATGTCAACAGGCACTTAGGTTGAGCTGATCATATGAGAAGCTTAGACCTACAGACTTGGGAGCAAGTTGGGCCAGGCCACAGAAGCTTTCTAAGTTCAAAGATTGTTGAGGATCATAGCCAGCTCACAAAGGCTACATTTTACCATTTGATTTCAAAATAAATCCTGCGAAAATATATACACTAATAAATAGTATGTGAAAGTGTGACTAGATATGGCTCTGCAGGCCTCAGAGCCTGCAGTTTCAACTGTCCATAGGTGTGAGGAATCTGCAGGTCCTGAGAAGCAGAACCACATTCTTGATACACTGTCTTTTATTCTGCTAATAGGCATGGCTTGGATTATTAAATAAAAGCTAAGGAGGCCACTGTTTTCAACTAGTGTCCCTGTACTGGGCCCCAACAAACCATATCGAAAATCAAAATGGAGTCACTTATGCTGAGGTTCCATGTCACCAGCTGTAACTAAGTTGTCATACCTTCTGAGAAACCAAGAAAAGTCTATAGCCAAATTTCTTAAACAAGCCAGCTACAGTTGGCATGATGATTAAAGTTTCCTTTGCTTTAATCCTTGTATTCTTTAGTCCTTACAAAAAAATAACCTGAGTGCTGGGGTTGTGGCTCGGTGGTAGAGCATTTGCTTAGCACATGTGAGGCACTGGGTTCGATCCTCAGCACCACATAAAAATAGATAAATAAAATAGAAATACTGTGTCCATTTATAACTAAAAAAAAAAAAAAAAAAAAAAATTTAAACCCAAGGTAATCTGATGTTAACCAATCAGTTATTTTTCTCTGGTTCCATTCCATGGGATCTCCATCTCTTCACAAGCCTTCTCATAATAGGTGCCCTAAATCAAGGATAGGCAGTGCCAAGTTACTATTCGACAATAGTGACAAAAGTTATAAAGTAACTTTTTAAAAAGCCAGTGTTCTTTTTGTTATTGGTTTCTGGGTTTTTTAAGCTCAGTCAACAAACATTTATTCTATTTTATGGAATGAAATGTCTCTCGATTGTAGAATGGGAAATAAAGCCATTAAGATCCTTAAGCTAACTTGTAATTTTGTTGTTTGACAGATCGGTGTTCCAGAAGTCAAGAGATAAGAGTTTCAAAGAGGCAGAGTGCTCAACTGTGCCAAGTGCTGCAGAAAGCGGTTAAATTGGAGACTGAAAAATCTATGAGTCTGTCAATTAGGAGATCACCATGACCTTGACTAGACCAGTTTTATTTTTTCAAGCTGGAGATTAATGCTTGACTAAAGAAGGTAAGGACAGAAATCTGTTTGTATTGAGCTGACAAAAGGGAAAGGTCACAGGATTCAAGAATTTTCCTTAGTCCAAAAAATACAATTTATGTTATATATATTATATCATTTACATTGAAATTTTATAAGAGGGGTGTGTGTGTCTGGGGATTGAACCCAGCACCTCACAGATAGTAGGAAAGTGCTCTACACTGAGCTACATTATCAGAACCTCTTTGTAGGTTTTAAATCACCATATCAATCAGCTTTTAATTACTATAATGAAATACATGAGACAAGCTACTTTATAAGGAAAAAATGGTTATTTTGGCTCATAGTTCTAGAGGGGCAAGGTCAAGGTGCTATATCTGGTGATGGCATTCTTCCTGGCAGAGTCCCAGAGTGGTACAGAGCATCATATGGCAAGAAACAGGAGTACTTGTGTGTATTTCTTTCTCTGCTTATAAGCCACCATGACTCAATTGTGGGGGCTCCATCCTAGTGACCTTATATAATCCTATTCACCTCCCAAAACCCATTCCCCTCACCTCTCAACACTATAGATTAAGTTTTCACCCTCTCAATATCTCACAATGAGAACTGAACTTCAACACAAAAAAAAGCCTTGGGGAACACTCAACTATATAGCAATCAACATTTAATTTCATTTTCTGCACAGATGCATGAAGAAGAGGAGGAGACAATACACTGGAATTCTTAGTGCTTGAGGTAGAACAGTGAGTTCATAATCTCTCTCTTTTTTCTTTTCTTCTTCCTTCTTCCAACGTTTGATAATATGCCCACATTACATTCAAAAGGAAAAAATTAAACACAACAAAAGCATATCATGCAAGGTA